ACACACACTCCACTATGTTTTGACCATGTGCCAAAGGCTTTATCATCAGATACAATGTACAAGGTTTTTATATCACCACTAAGTGCCTGACCCAACAATCTGATGACTGACACAGGGCATTACCATGCATAAGAGCCAGAATCTGATCTCCTCCTCCCATCCCCAGTTGAGGCTAGAAACTTCAGAGGAAACATTCCAAGCCTCCCATTGCATTGGGTCTTTTGTCCTCAAGAGCTCGCTGAGAAGCTGCTTTAGAGGGGGGCATCTGTTCTTCTAGTTACATGAAAGAACACAGGCTTTGCATACAATTGATGAATACACATGGAAACCAGAGACTATACAACCTCTGTACAGTCTGCATCTCCTGGCCTCCAGCCCTTTTCACCTGTCCCCAAAGAGAAGTGGCTAAAATACCACACACCCATGGACCAATGGCTGTAAGCAAGTATTTACTTTGCAGACAAAGCATTAATCCTTCATTCTGGGGAATGTGCCTAGTATATTTATTACTATACTTTTAGTTGTTTCCAATCTTAGATATTTATCCCCAATAGAAGCATGGTGATATCGTCAAAACGGGCAAGTAATTCTACTCATGCACGTTTTACAAAAAGAAAAATCATTTAGTGCATCTTCCCTTTCCTGGCTCCTTACCAAAGAACACCAGGCTACACACGTTCACCGATGCTGAAGAACTTCACAATAGTATCATGACATTCAGTCTAGCTCTCCAAACAACCCCATTATTATAAACTTGAGTGCATGTTTTGCTTTCCAAGGGGTCACTAGAAATTCAAATATTTAAGTGCTCTGACAGCATCCTTTCAAGATCAGTATTTCACTTAAGTATTTTTGCTTTAGAATGACTTAAAACTTGAGGTTTCACCAGTTTACATGTATGATGTTATAGTACAGGGATGGCCAGCCTGCAGCACACGTGCCACAGGCAGCACGTGTGTGGCATGAGGAGACGGGCAACCTGGCAGCAGTAGAAAGCAGGGCAGCAAATTTAGGCAGAAGAAAGGGATGGGAGTGGCACTCAAGAAGCATGCGGAGCTAACAGATAGCATACCTGCAAAACAAGTTGGGTCCCATTGTTATAGTATGCATATATAGGCAATGATACACCAATACTTCAATACTCAAGGGCTTTCTGGTAGCTTTTGAAGCCCAAAAGCTGAGATACTTGCTTAAGAATAAATTGAACTTGTAGCAGATTACTGTCACTGGAATTTTAATGGAGTTTTGCAATAAAACAGAAAAAGTTTCCTCTGAATGGAGTATCCCAAGTCTGTCTGCTAGACTCAGACAGGGCCAAATTCCACCCTCCTATACTCTGGAGGGTTTCTGATTGATTTCAGTGGGGACCATTTGCTCCCCGAAAAGGCAGACTTAAACTTTTACCAATTACAAAAAGAAATGTGCAGGGTTGAAAGAACAAAGGCTGGGAAGCCAGCTGAGTACTGATGTGATTCAGGTGATGCTCACAGGCAGGGAGCAAAGTTCATTTAACACATTAGGGATGGGCAAAAAAATTCCTCCCATGACTGTAACGCTCATAAGTGATCTACTCAGAGGGATGCCTAGCAGCAGATGAGAAGCTGCTTTTCTCATCTCCTCACCCAAAGGCAAGGTAGCTGTGACAAGGGCCTATTGACACCAATAAATAGCAGGGACTGAAGTGAGAGAAAAGGAAACAACCAGTAGAATCACTAGGAGAAAATGAAATGGGGCCTTATTAGTCAGGAATCTTTCTGCATGATAGTAACTACCAAGTCAGGTCAGAGATAATGTGCACAACATTCTGTTTATTTATTATTATTTTATAATTATAAATTATTATTTATTATTAAAAAAATAAATATGTTTATTTTCCAGGCTGGCAGGGAAGGAACAGGACTACGGCGTTACTTCTTCCCTATTCCCTTTTGGAAGCTCAAATACAGCTGTTCCTTACAGGAGCAGGAAATATTCAGGAACAGAATACCAAAATAAATAAATAAAATATAGAAGAATGCAGAACTGTTGATGATGGATTTAATTTTTATTTTTTTTAATTCTCTCTGCCAACGCCTTTCTGGGATTCTCATTGATAAAGAGTGCTGTACAAGTAGCAGCAAGATTCTTGTGTTTATCCTTCCCTAGATGGAGCTGTGGTGGACACTTCAGGAGCTTGTGCCTTACAAGGTCTCCTTGGTGCTCCCAGGAACAAGGGGATAAGGGCTAATAATAAACATCCATCTTTCAGCTGAGGCAGACTAGTCCAAGTAAGCTGCCCTGCTTGCCTCATTGCTCTGCAGAGGACAGCATTTCGGGAAGCTCTTGCAAAGCCCTGCATGTGGCCACAGGGAAGTTTCCTCCACATCTTGCCCTGCATATACACAAGGTACATCAAAATACAGTCCTAATGGAATTATCCCCCTCACAAAAAGCCTTCAAAAGGACAGGGAGCATCATTGTTGCCATTATATTGAGGTGGAACTGAAGCACATAGGAAGGGTAAGGTCTATATTTACCAGAAGTGGCCAATTATTTTAATTGACCAAACAGAAGCAGCCTGTTTCTCAGAGGTGCCATTCATCTGGCAGCTCACATTAGCCAGAGCTGGAGCCTTCAATATCTCCGATAACAAGGTATGACCAGACTCACAATGAACCTATATCCTAGTCCCAATCCAATGCCTCTACCCTCCCGCTCCTTGTTTATTGCTTGGATGTCAGAGATGTGCGATTAAGGCAAGAGAATTAAATAGCCAAACCTAACCATAACAGCTTAATGGCACAGACTGCATCTGCTGCCCCACAAGAAGAAGAAAATCCCTCAGCAGTCTTTAGCAGATGGTAATTTTCTTTCAGGTCCAAATGATGAAAGAGCATTTCTGCAGAACGAGACACAGGTTTGCTCTGTTCACTGGTTATGGTTTTGCTAACAGTTTATAATCAGGGCTCCTCTCAAGGAGTTGTATGTGTTTAATTGCCATTAAGAGGAAATAAGCAGGGGTACCAAGAGAACAGTCCTAAGTGACTAACTTATACTGAATATGCATCTGATAGCTGAATAATGATATAACAAATCTAATGGAACCATGCAGAGGTTGCCAGTATGCCTTAACAGGGAGCCTACTGCAAACCAGCATCAACCAGCTGATGTCTCCAAGTATTTTACAAGGCGGGGGGAACCCAACCAAAAGCCCTTCTTTTCCCAGAGCCAATCTCAGTCATAACAAACATATGTGGCTGTGTATGACCACATAAAAAGAAACCTGTCAGTCAAGTGGGCACCACCCAGTATGCCTGTCAAAATGGGTCTGTTCCAGTCTTGGATTTTGCTTTTAAAATCTCAACAAAAATTTCTCCTTTGGACAACTGGCTGAGGTGAGCCTTCCTTAGCTCAGTATAAGATGATTAAAACCATGCTACCCAGGAGAAGAAAGAATGTGCAACACCAATGATTTACCAGAAACAGAACCAGGAACCAATATGCAGAAGCACTACAAACATTAAGAGATTGACTTTCCAGAAACAAGCTGTTTCAAAAAAGGAAAAATAGCCTAATTCTGCACATTGCCTTTCAGAATGAAATAGTTCTAGAGCTGCTTGCAAAAACAGCCTCATTCCTGAGAGCCCTATTGAGAAAGAGGGTTTAAGCAACTCACATAGAAAACCTCTAAAGATAAGCAGGGTTTCTAATCAAAACTCAATATTCTTCTCTGTTGATATAAGGAAGCACTGTCTAAAGTAATGGAAAATTGCCTTCATAACTAGAAGAATTTAGCATCCCCTTTTTTTTTAAGTTGAATTTAGCTTCTGAAAAGGGATCCTTAAGGAAAGAAAAAAAAAGAAAAGGACCTGCTTTATAGCCTATAGGTAACCATCAGACTTGTAGGGTGGTGGGGAGAAAATGGGGCTTAATATAAGGTGAAGTGCCAGCAGGAGAGGATTAATGCAAGTTTTTGTGCCACTTACTTCATATTTTTATCTTAATATCTTCCTTTGACAGACATAGCTGTGGGAACCCTGGAGCACAGTACACAAGACATTAGAGCTCACATGTTACAGGGCATTAACCTACTGCCCTAATGCCCAGCAATCATACATTACCATCCAATGCTCATTCAAGATTCTTCTCTCCCCCCCCCCCCCCAAGTTCAGAAAACAGGTCATAATGAGAACAGGACAACAAAGAAATATCTGGTCAGCCTGGGGTCAGTGTTCCCCAATATTACTCCTCCTCTTCACACGCAGTGGGTGTGTCCCCAGGAGCAGGAACCATTGTTTACCTAAGGACAAGCAGCATTGGTACAATATGTGCCACTGCTGCTTGTCCCTGGGGCCTGTGCACATGCGCTTTGGTGTGCAGCATGTTACCCCAGGTGGGGTAGGGGAGACTGGGGCCAGCACCGAGGCTGAGCTCTGGGGACCTCTGGGGGCTGCAGCCGTGACAATCCAGCAGCACGGAGTCTGGCTGGCAGCCAGAGTGTGGCTCCAGCCAGCCAGGCTCTAGATTTGGTGACATGTTGCTGCTATGTGGGCCATCACGCTTTAAGGTGCAGAGTTTTTTACTCCAGGGCACCTGGTGTCAACCCTCCCTACAGTGCCCCCCTTCCCCATGTGCTGCAAATTCACAGCATAGGGGCACCTGCATGTGTGCCACATGCCTGCACTCATCTGGACACACCCAATGTTAGCGAGCATATTGCTCCACTAGATATATATTCCACCTATATTCTCCACTAGACACACATTTGCCTTTTAGGATCAGATCTCGTATATTTAAAAAAAGCAAACAAACCCAATACCCTATACTCCCCACTGTTGTCAAGTGCAGGATAAAGTCCATTCTGGTAACAGCGTTGACACGGCCATAACAGAGATAGTAATGGTACATGTATTATTATAATAAACCCCGTTTCATTGGGAATTTAAAAACTTGGCTAGAAAAAAAAAATATATATATTGCTCAGGGGTAAAACCCTAACACAGCACACATGAACAAGTGCACAATATATAACCACTTTAATATTTATGAATTAATTTAATCTAAAATGCATTTAAGATCAAAAAGTTTTTACAACTCAAAAAAAAATGCGACTAAACTGGTCAGCGGAAAGTAATTATTTCACCATACGGTGCTACGTGTTCAGAATTTAAAGGAGGAAGAAAATAAAGAAGGAAAAAAAACCCAAAAAAACAATTGTTGAGCTATAAAAACGCAATACCACAAATCTCATTCATACTTCAAATACAAGTAGTCTCACTGACACCAATTGGGCTTCCCGCATGAGTAAGGATTACTCATGTGAGTTGAGTTGCAAGATCAGGCCCTCCTTGTAGAGATGCAAGCATACTTTCCTCCCCTGCCCCCACCCCTCCTTCAATAGACACTTCAAGGCTTTATTCCAAGGCATTTGTGCATACATGTAACAGCTAAATTAAAAGAAAAAATGCTCTTTGCGGTCAATGATGTGTGTTCAGAAGGGTGGCTATAATGCTCACAACAGCCCTGAAGGAATCTATAGGATGCCATAAGTAAGTGACTGAGTAAGTATTTCAGCTAAGTATACCTCTGGAAGAAAACTAGTGCCAGAATATTAATACTAATGACTATAACAGTATCAAATAAATGAGTAAATGGTATTAATAACCTTTCTTAGAAGGCCTAAATACAGAAATGTAAGTGCATTTGAAAGTCTCACACCGTAGGTAAATTACATATACAAAAATAAACCATTAAAAAAAAATAGATTACAAAAAATTGAGCATAAAAGCATCTTTTGCTTAACCAACACAGAAGTTGACACAAACCAACAAACATCTGTGAGGACAAAATAAAGTTAAGAGAAACATTACTATTAACTCACAGCAATGAAACCTTTCCC